TAATGTAATTGAGTCTCTTACAATAATGTACTATACGCTCTGATATGCTCAATCAAAACACAGCTGACAGCTGAATAATCACGTCCAATAAAAGTACAAACATATATGTATGTCAATATGTATTTCTATATACACGAACATGAATTTTTCATTCTTTCTTTGTCAATTATAAAAAAGTAACATCATCAACATTACATTGGGAAAGGTGAACAATATATTCGCATGTAAATTTAATTTTCAATCCATAAAATCTCTGATGAATCTTTAATATAATATATTTTAAGGCACATAAGATGATCAATCTGGACGAGCATTTAATCTTCTCTTATTTTTTAATCGTTAATATTTCTTCCCTTCATTAATCATGGATAATATATATTTACTAATTGGCTTCAAACATGAGCTAATATTTCTAAAAGACGAAAAAAAGATAAAGCTAATTTCTCAGACCATTATTATATGGAGAAGATTGGAGGTTAAGCTATTAATTAACATAAAATATATTTAACATAAAAAATACTTCCGTATAATATATCCTATTTATCGAACATAAAACTTGCATTGCAAAATGAGTTATATATGAGCCGGAAACAATTTGAGAGAGAAATCGAACAGCTGTATTTGTAACGCGAAATATATTAACGCATAATAAACAATAAAAGCCCTTGTTTTACGAAACAATTTTCCTAATTTTTTTGTATTACATATACATATGTTCTCAATTATCTAATTAGAAGATGGCACAAGAGAACAAGAAAATAAATTAAACATATCTTGTCGTATAAAACAAATATTATAGAGGAACTAGGAAAAAAGAGATTATTTATCTCATATATCTTTATTTTCGAAAAAAGGCAAGTATATATATGCATTTTCCCGATGTTTAAACATTGTAAAAGAATTCATTATTAAATAAATCGATATTTAACGATAATATATATATATACATAATTTACGTAATTTCTCTTTGTTATGTATTCTTGCTTATAAATTATATATATTTTATCGAATTTAAAATTTTCATGATAATACATCAACTAAGATAATTTGATATATATTTTTATTTATATTATACTTTGATATATTTTTATATTTTCTATACTGTCGCTAATTCAAGGGAGCTTATGAGTCATCGTTGCATGCAATATAACTGTACTTATTGACTGAAATGACTATATGTACTTGCAGAATGAATTCGAGTAAAGATTAATCAGATCGTGAAACGTTCAATGTACTCTCCACAGCGGATAAAGAATTTATCCAGGATAATAACAAATTAATTTGCTAAATGAGATAATTGAATCATCTTTTTAATTAGACTCGTGGGCGTTTCCCCGGCGAGTTTCCATTCTACCAAAAAAAGAGACGTCTGAGAAAACGATTCAGTCATGCCTCGAGAAAGATGCGGCCCAAATATGGTGCAATTTACACGAAATGTCATGTACATACATACATTCACTCCTGCCTAGCAACATCACACATATACATATACACACATACATGCAATGTAAAACGGGATTTCTTTGAGAAATTTCGTAGAAATCCGTATCTTATCGGATAAGCGTGCAGGAACATTTATTCCCGTGCGTTTCGACAATCGTGTAAATGACGATTGTGGGACTCGAAACGATCGTATTATAGGACAAAATAATAAAATTATGTCAACGGTTCGGCACTACATTGTCGGCGCGTAGAAACGATTATCGGGGATGACGAGTGCTGCGGTCTAGCGCCAATCGTAGCGCGGTGTGAGATCATCGCGCACCAATCAGCGTACTCTGGAACGGTCGATTCCAGCAGGTATAAATAGAGCGCAGTAGGCGTTGTTCGCCCAATACTCGATAGTTGCTCGGACGTCGACGTTATATAGTTGTTAGCAAAAGCTCCATTACTTGCTTTCGCCAACTATCGATTTCCCGTGGCGGCTACTTGATTTTTTTTCTACGAGAAGACAAGAAATAAATTATAATACAAAATGGTAAGTCGTCGATAATTATAACGCTTTCGCTCATGAGAATCGTAAATCTTTATCGTGACATCGCCCATCCTTGTTGGGAGGTCGGCCATTTTGTTAACGGTTAAACGCCGGCCGGTTACGGCTTTCGCTAAATTTAGATCGCGTCATCTCTTTGTCCGAAGACAATTCGTATTGTCATTACGAGTAATTTATTTTTACACATTTCTACGTTTACTATTATTATATAAATATCTGAGCTATATAAGACTAATTATTCGAGTATTCTAATATGAATATTACCAGGACATTGACCTCAATGAGCCATTTTGGAAAGTTCATTGTATTGATTTATTTCAGGCTGCGTTCGTCTTGACGCTGTAAGTACTGAAAGCGTCGAGACAAACGTGGCCTAAGTCTCGCTTATTACGATTCTTTTATATATTTGGAAATTTGAAGAACTTACACTACACTAATATATATATGATTTATTTTAGCGTGAATGTATCTCAATCCACGTTGGCCAAGCTGGTGTACAAATTGGCAATGCCTGCTGGGAGCTGTATTGCCTGGAACATGGCATCCAACCTGATGGCCAAATGCCCTCTGACAAGACTATTGGAGGTGGAGACGATAGTTTCAACACCTTCTTCAGTGAGACTGGTGCTGGCAAACATGTACCCAGAGCTGTCTTCATCGATCTGGAGCCTACTGTAGTTGGTACGTATTTCATCTATGTAACTTTTAAACTTTCTCTCGTATTTGATAAACTGCAAAAATTATACTATAATTTTTTAATCTTTGTGCACAGATGAGGTTCGTACTGGAACTTATCGTCAATTGTTCCATCCGGAGCAATTAATTACTGGCAAGGAGGATGCTGCAAACAACTACGCTCGCGGTCATTATACAATCGGCAAGGAGATAGTCGACCTCGTTCTTGACCGCATCCGTAAGCTCGCAGATCAATGTACTGGCTTGCAAGGTTTCCTCATTTTTCACTCGTTCGGTGGTGGCACTGGCTCTGGTTTCACATCCCTGTTGATGGAACGTTTGTCCGTCGACTATGGAAAGAAGTCGAAGCTTGAGTTCGCTATTTATCCTGCACCACAAGTCTCCACAGCTGTGGTCGAGCCATACAACTCTATTCTGACAACGCACACCACCCTTGAACATTCCGATTGCGCATTTATGGTTGACAACGAGGCGATCTACGATATCTGTCGCCGTAATCTGGATATTGAGAGGCCGACTTATACAAATCTCAATCGCTTGATTGGCCAGATCGTGTCCTCCATCACGGCATCTCTGCGATTTGATGGTGCCTTGAATGTCGACTTAACGGAATTCCAAACCAATCTGGTACCCTATCCGAGAATCCATTTCCCTCTGGTCACATACGCACCTGTCATCTCGGCCGAGAAAGCCTATCACGAGCAGCTCTCTGTTTCGGAGATCACAAATGCGTGCTTCGAGCCAGCTAATCAAATGGTCAAGTGTGATCCTCGTCACGGTAAATATATGGCCTGCTGTATGCTTTATCGCGGTGACGTCGTGCCGAAAGATGTCAACGCGGCGATTGCCACTATCAAGACGAAGCGTACTATTCAGTTCGTCGACTGGTGTCCCACTGGTTTCAAGGTCGGCATCAATTATCAGCCGCCGACCGTCGTTCCGGGTGGCGACCTTGCAAAGGTCCAGCGTGCCGTCTGCATGCTGTCAAATACCACCGCTATCGCGGAGGCTTGGGCTCGTCTTGATCATAAGTTCGATCTGATGTATGCCAAGCGTGCATTCGTCCACTGGTACGTCGGTGAAGGTATGGAAGAAGGAGAATTCTCTGAGGCGCGCGAAGATCTCGCTGCATTGGAGAAGGATTACGAAGAGGTCGGAATGGACTCCGCAGAAGGCGAGGGTGAAGAAGGCGCCGAGGAATACTAAACGACGCCAATACCATTTGCCTGCTTGTGTTACAGCTTTGTCTAAAATGTCTCCATACATTTTGAAATAGAGTAATCATTTACAAAGCAAGCTTACGACTGATTGATACACCTATACTTTTGTCAAATGAGAATTTAAGTAAATTATTAAATTATTGCAAAAATATTAATCTACGTATTTGTAAATGTGCACTTATATTAAGACTGTTTTTTTTATGCAACAATTACACGAAATATAAGTCTAACGTCCTTTTTTTTTTTAATTGAATACATAAACATAAAAAAATCAATTTTGATTATATATTTCTATTATATCTTTGTATGAGATGAAGCTCTTTCTTGGTTTAAAAGACACAAAAATATTCATGATGTTTTTAAAAAATAATTTGTATTTTGCAATATTCAGTTTACAATGGCAATCTTGAGATAACTAGATTCACATACGCCCATAAAAACAATTTCTGCAATTTGATTGAATTAAAATTTGCTACAATTCATTTTATGCAAACATTCAATTATTTAACTATGATAACAGCAAAACTAAAAAATATCTCATGAATGTCTGAGATATAATGTTTCGTAAATTTATAGATAATATTTACACGATTTAATTAAATTGATTCAATCGTCCAACTCCAAGACGAAATCTTCATCGTAGATATATTCTTCATCTTCGGAATAATAATCCAAATATTCGGCGTGAAAATCGAAATCGTCATCATCATCCGGTTCATCGGGTATTACACCGCGATACAACATATTGAAACATTTAGATTCCGGATTTCGAAAATGTAAGTAAGGCGTCTCGGGATTGAGTCGCGTGCCGCACAACCAACAGAAATATGTACCGCAATGCGAACATGTCATCTTATTACAGCCATCCGATTTCTGTAACAATTATATATCACGATATATATCGTACAATATTGATTGTAACAAGAAATTTTTCCAAGAATCGAGTTTAATACCTCGATCGCTGTCTTGCAGTGAGGACAATTGTGACTATTGTCATTAATCCAATTTTCAGACATAGCATTCTCTATCATAGTTTGTAGTTGCCTCTTGCCATAACGCTTTTCCAATTCTGCCTTCTTTTCATTGCTCGCTGATTGATACTCATTAAATAATCGTTGTTTCTCGGCTATTAATAATGAATTAAAATTATTATACAAAATTAATATAATATATTCTCTAACATGCAAAAATTCTTTAGAACTAAAAGATGCAAAAAAAATGAATAATATGAATGTTTTACATATTAAAGAAAACAATCGTTTTAACTAAGATATATAATATATCTAAGCACGTACCTGAACTAATCTTACAAAGTTCTACTCCATGATAAACCATCTTGCAACGAACACAAAATGCATATTGACAAACCGGACATTTTGCCATGTGATCATCGGGATCGCGAGTGACTGGATACTGACAGTGTCGTCTTGGACAATAAATTATATCCATCATTGTGTCTAATGTAGTACTTAATAATAGGGAATCGTACTTTGAGAACAATTCTGAACTTACTAAATCTTTTATCTGCAATAGGTTCAGCAAATGTTTTACACAGAATTTCAATATTAAGCAACAAAAATATAGTGCGAAATAGTTACCTGATTTGGTGTAGCTTCGAATTTACATTTTTCTTCAGGACAACAGATATTCTGTACACTTCCTTCCTTAATCTTTACTTCAAAGTAACCTTTGATGCAATCTTTACAAAAAGTGTGAGTACAAGGCAAAAATTGGGTACAATGCTCTCCCAACTTGTCGGTGAAACAGATGTTACATGTATAAAAATTCTTTTTGAATTCAATTTGTTTCCACTTTTCATTGTAATCGATCAATACTTGAATAGGATTTTTACCAATTGGACAATCTAAAATGGCTCTCTTATCAATGACATTGGTCTTCTTCGATATACTCTCTCTACTTTCTTTACTGACTTCACTGTTACACTGTTTGTTACATTGTTCATCTATTTCCTTATTTGCTTGCAAATTTTGTAATTTTTCCGATGTTTTCTTGTAAGATGTATATATATAATCCATATCCAGATGATCTTTTATTTTCAAGAATTTGAGTGTTTCATCTTGAAGGAACTCCATCCATATAAACAAAATTTCCTGTTTGCTGTTCTCCCATAACAAATCGAGCTTTTTGCATAACTTAGACAATACTACTGGGCGTAACCAAGAGGAACATAATGTAAATATAGGAGCAGATACAGATGGATAATCCTCTGGCAATGTAACGTGTAATGTTAAGGGTGGCAAATATGATATCTGTACTTCTTGCTTAGAATCCGTTTCATGTCTCAAATCCCTGTATGTCAAATGATATTTTGCTGGAAGGTTTACAAATATTTTAAAAGTGCAGTCAAATCGGTCGTTTTCCTCGTGATATGAAAATTCCTCTTTATTGTAGATACTTTCCAATGCAGTAACTTCATCCTTTTGTTTCTCGTAGTCCATTGACTGAAAAATGAAACTGTTTATTGTGATTATATATTTCTTATTTGATGCAATAATGAAAAGAGAAAATTAACAATTATATGCTTTTTTGACTTACCAAATACCAAAGACGAAAGTTAAATGTATATCGAATTAAATATAAGCCTTACAATTGTTCCTGACACTTTTTGTGATTTAGTTATCAAAAACGATACATGTTGTCGATGACATTTCAAGGAGGTTATGCGCTTGTCGACTTTTCGAATAATTTGGAGTTTGCTGAACTGTCACGATTTGATTGCAGATAATCAATCTATTTAATTTTTATAATCGTACAAAAATACTGTTAGACGAGAATGAAAATTGTGATTTGAGGTAGTATTTTACGAATAAATACCAAGATTCGTGTTTAACCAGAGAGAAGTTTGAGAACGGTCATGCTGTCGTTTTTCGTAAGATACTTTTTTTTTATCTGGTGCTGGTACAGTAGCGTTATCTAAATTCATTTTAGAGTTGGCGGAACTACATGACCATATTGACTTTATGATGCTATGGCAAAACGGCCGGTTGGTGTTGGTGCATGTCCGTGCTAGGTCCATAATTGTGGATCAAAAAGCGGATAAATTATATATATATACGTAGTATGTACTAAAATGACAAAACATCACAGTTAATAAAACATTAAAAAATCCGTATATATATATATATATATATACGGATTTTTTAATGTTTTATTAACTGTGATGTTTTGTCATTTTAGTACATACTACGAACAGCGATAATAAGTTACTATTGAAGTATTTTTATGTATATGTGCATAAAGTGTGTATAATTTTAATTAAATTGATTTTGAAAAAACGGAGAACTATAATTAATAATATATAAGTAATTATATATACACACACACAAAATAAATGCGCGTATCGCGCGCTTGTAATGCTTTAGTATTTTAAATTGCGAGTAAAAATGCATTTGCGCGTATACCACGAGCAGGAATTGCGAGGAATTCGATCCGCGCGATAATCGAGACAAAGCGATACGAAATACGAAACATACGAAATGGCGGCTCTCAAGGAAGCGGTGTTTTCGTACCGCCTCGTTTTCACGTCGCTGTCACAAAAGTGCAAGCATGTCGTTCCCAGTGCGACCGCGGTATCGAGGAAAAAATATTCGACCGCCGTAGAAAATGAAGAAAAATATGACGTTATCATCACCGGAGGTGGCATGATCGGCGCGACATTAGCATGTGCCATAGGTTAACTGTTGTTATTGTTATTATATTGTCATCAAAATGAGAAAAGAGAACGAGTATTCTGTAATTAAAAAATTTTGTTGTTAACGTTTATATAACAGAATTACAATTGTATCTAGGCATTTGTTTAAAAACAGGGAGTCTACTTTCCCAAGAGTTTTTGTCAAGCTTTCTGCGTGAAAAAGAAGTAAAAATATATTCATTCGTTTCAGGAAATAATCGAAGATTGGAAGGCAAGAAAGTCTTGCTATTGGAGAGTAGTGCTAAACAAGAATACACACCGCAGGAGCAATATTCCAATCGAGTTGTCGCTTTGAATCAACAGACTCGTACCTTGTTGTCTAGTTTAGGAGCATGGCAACACATAGAGGCAGTTCGTTATTGTACAGTACGGAAAATGCAGGTAGTTCTTTATGCTTTTTATTCCTTTTCGCAGCCTGAATTATTAAATTATTAAGTTTGTATTAATAATATAATGTTATTGTGCTAGATTAATATGAAACAAGAGTTAGCATTATAAAAATTGACACTTTTTATTTTTGTAATGATGGATGTCTTGACAAGTATAGCAGATAGCAAGTATGTATAATAAATTTGTTATAATTTTGTTACAATTTTGTTGTAATTAAAAAATAGTTGGGTCATAGGATGTCTTTTCAGTAATTTTTATTATTTTTGTTTATGCTACACAATGCGAGAGTCTAATCTGATTCTTTTTTTGACATTTTGATTATTAGTGCAAATTTGATTATTTGTGTAATCCTCTATTTCTACCATTAGTTTTAAAGTATTGATGACAATATTACTATATGATCTTTTTATATGTCTTATTTGAAAATGATTGGAAAGATCGAAATGTTTACTATATATTTAGTTTTGACATAAATAATATTCAGAAGATTTTGCGTCATAATTATTACTTTGACTCTCTTATCCAGCTTTTTTTTTTCTTTTTGCTTATTTTTTTGATTGTATATTTAGTTGTATATTTAAAGCCATTTTTATCATTTTTTAAATTATTTTATTGTTCTATTCTACATATTACAAAAAATTAGAAATTCTATCAAGTTTAAGTATAATTTTTTTAGTAGGTATGGGATGCGTGTTCCGACGCTATGATAACATTCAACGAGGACCATTTGTCGGAGGATTTGGCATACATAGTTGAAAACGATTTGCTGTTACACGCAGTCAACAAGCAGCTTTCTCAGAAAGAGAATGTAACTGTGATTCACGAATCTAAAATCACCGATGTAAAACTCCCGAAGACATCGGCCGAATTCGCCTCTGTACAGCTACAATCAGGAAAGCAGTACGCAGCCAGATTACTAGTAAGTACAAAATAAAAAAATAATTGAATTTTATATAATTCATGATAAATATATGTATCTATATAAATCGTCTTGGAAATATGCGATTCATTAGATTCATATATTTTTTTTATTTTATCGCCATGGATTAGGTCGTTAAAGTGTACATCTCAAGGCATTTACATTTATTTTTTAATTGCTAGTTACTTGAATTGCGATTTATCATATTTTTACATTTCTATCTTTAATTTTGAACTTTGCTCTGGCAGATTATCCGAGTGTTTCGGTTTGTCGCTTTGTTCGAACAATTTAAATGCTCCAAACAGAATATTAGGCAATGTTAACGTAAATGCACCGTCAGGTTTAAATCCCGAGCGATACTCTCCATCTTGTTCGTCAGGCTATCCAACCTGGTACTGATGTTATACGAACATCTCTTCAGCTCGGCCGCGAGCTCGTTCAGCTGCTGATTACTCTCGTTACTGTACATTCTGCTGAGGCTCTCGTGATTCGGTTCATTCGCGACAATGTTTTGCGGTGGCACGCCGCCACGGAAGGTCGCTCGTCGCGTTTTCCGCTCGCCGACCAGGCGATACACCGCCCGGATGAGTTCCCGCGGTAAACGTCTTTCGCGCGGATCATTCGGCCGAATATGCAAGGCGCAGTGATACGGTGGATGCAGCAATAGTGCGCTCCTCCTGCACGCTTGTATTATTTTGCACGCGGGAGCGCAGTCGAGCAGCTTCGAGAACAGCATGTTCTCGAGGTGAGCCACCAACTCGGCGCGACGTACCAATCGATCGAGACCGGCGCATCTGCGTAATTCCTGGATATCTGACACAGCCAAGCCAACCATCAGATTCGTCAGAATCACTGTTACCAGGATAACGAAGCTAAGGAGCATGAGATGTGCTGTGCCAGGATACACGAGCGGCGCCTTCTCATCGAAGAAAACGTCCTCGAATTCCAGCTCACCGGACATCATAATCACAGTCTTGAGCAGACTGATCAGCGGATTAGCGAAGGACTTGTACTTTTTGTGCAGCACATTGAAGCCGAGAGAGAAACCGACTATCAGGCAAACGTAGGCCGCGAGAAACTTGAAGAAATTGATGGATACTTGGGTAAACATCTGTACGTAAATGCCGAACATGGGAAAACGACCGACCACAATCATCAGCTCAATCCAGGCCAGCAGGATACCCAAAGCGGCAACGTGATGCTGCCAGTCACGCGCTGGCGGAATCAGGATAATGCCAGATGCCACTATCACGCTCCACTGCAGCCAGTTTTCCCAGCGTTTAGCGTAACAGCAAATACCATGGGCGATCTGGAAGATCTCTTTACTCGCGAGCATGCAAGTGAAACCTAGGACTGGCCAGAGGAGGACACTGCTCAGCCGCTCCATGTGCCATAAATACGTTGCGCCGACGAAGCCGGTGAAGAAAGCGACGAAGATCGAGTGGAACATGAAACTGAGTAGGAAGAACTTACGGATACGCAGCCACTTGAGATAGAGAAAGCTCTCGCATAGCGGGTGCTTTAGCATATGGCCCTGACCGACCTCCACCAGGCAGAGCATCAGGTTCGTCTCGCTGCGACCGCCCGGCACCAACGGCCGAAAATCCAATCGCAGCTCACAATCCACGTCGCCCAGCTCGTGATCGTGCAGCGAGATTGCTTGATCGAGACGCGCCACAAATCGCGATAACACATCCGGGGTGCGGCGTATGATGAAGTTAAGGGCGGTGATGCCGCCTTTGGTACGCGCCGTCACGTCAGCGCCTTTCGACAATAACACTACTACCGTAGACGAGCTCTCGTTCAAGGCCGCGATATGAAGCGGCGTGTAACCGAACTTGTCCGCTTTGTTGACTGACGCACCTGCCTTTTGAACAAAAAAAGAATTTATTAATTCTATCATTACACTAAAAATCATGATTTAAAAGTTTTTATTACATAAATGGAATAACTTAATGTAATTTATTAGAAAAAATTTATTTAAAATGTGATGCGATAAATTTTTTTTATTATTTTAATTAAAAAGGAATTTTATTCTGTTGAGTAAATAAAAAAAGTTTTTAATTGATTTGTAAAACGAATTTGTAAAACAAACTTGTATTAAAGTCTTGATCAATTCGCAGCCTCTCAGGGCTTTCGCAACCGCAGCATGTAGAGGGGTGCGCCCTTCATTGTCTTCTGCGTTTACCGTCGCGCCGACACTAATCAACACATCCATCGTCTCTACAGATTGGGCGAGCGCCGCCAAGTGTATCGCCGCCTGACCGCGCGAATTTCTCGCTTCCCAGCTCGCGCCGGCGTTTAGCAGTAACCTGGTGCATTCCGCGCTGCCCTCCTCAGCCGCTAAGTGTAGAGGCGTCGATCTCGCGATTCCCATTTGCACTCTCACATCCGCGCCGTGACTCAACAACAACTTGGTGCAACGGACATTGCCAAGACCAACCGCCACGTGCAAAGGTGTTTCTGTGTAAACCTGCCAACGAATTAATTCACTAAAGATATTTTAGCTTGAATCCCGAAGAGACACATTACTTTGGTGGAAAAGTAATTGTTTCTGCACAGTTTCCCCGCATAATACATTGCAGTTTGCCGTTTGAATTTTACTTCAATGATGTCTGATTTGTAATATTACTTCCCCACTAAATTTGTGCTTAAATTGTAGTTGTGGTGTAAAAGCACCTGTGGATTATTAGGACAAGCACCTGCTTGCAATAGAGCCTCGACGCAATCCCCGGCATTATTCAGCACGGCGTAATGAAGCGGACTTCTGCCGGACAATCCGGCATCTACATCCGCGCCAGACTTAATCAGGCACCTGACGGTAGCAACGCAACCAGCTGCGGCAGCACAATGCAACGGGGTGCATTTTTTCCCGAGATCCCACTTACATGGATCAGCGCCGTGTTTCAGTAGCTCCTCCACAATTTTCGTAGATGCGGCGCACGCTGCCAGATGTAACGACGTTCTGAGGATAGTCGTGTGCAAAAATATATAATTTCTATCAAGGATTAATTGTAACTACAGGTTCGGATAACTTTAGCCAATTCTAATCAAGGCGTCTGGTAAATGACAGCTAGCTATGATAGGTAAGTTAGGGTCATCAAAAAGTTTAGTTAATTTTTGAATAGCACAATGTCTATCTATCACAAATAATAAACCTTCCATCATTGTCGCTTGCGGAAGCTGGTGCGCCTTTGTCCAATAAAGCTTTCGCGATTTCTACGTGACCCAGCCAACTAGAAATCAGCAGACATGTGTCTGGCCATCTTGCAAGTAGCTGTCCCGGAGTCGCGCCGGCCGCTGCTCCGTTTTCGTTAGCCAACAGAGCTTTTCGCATAAATCTGCACACAAAGTTCTAAATTAAATTATACATTACTTCATTACAAACATATAAAATTCTAAATTATAAAGTACGAAAATATTAAATTTTAAAATTAAAAATTTCATTATTTTATTTAAAGTATCTTTTTTTATTAAATACTGTATAAAATAGACATGGTTTTTAATATATTAACAAAAAACATACAAAAACTATATATAAACATATATAAAAACTATAATAAGCAAATTCTATTTTTATCTATTATCTTTATTTTATTTATTTATTTTATCTTAATATAATACGCTAAATTACAGATGCAATTATCATTCCATACCCATTCGCAAACGTGGATAACGAGATCTTGCGATGCTTGAGGTCTGCATTTCCGTTGAGAGTCAAGCATTGAAATTCTTCCAAAACCTTTTGTAGAGCATCGCCATGAAGAACGGAAATCAGAGATAGAGCGGTCTCGCCTCCCGGAAGATTCGATAAAGCCATTTTAATCTCCTCCTTGCTCCAGGGTTGTTCCTGCGTCATCGATGCAGCTCGTATATAACACGTGACAGATTCCGAGCTGTCCTCGGAGGAGATGCTGCCATTTTCTATCTCGTTCAACCAAATATCCTCATGTTTTTCCTAAACGCAATATACATCAAGGCACCGAAGAATCGAAAGATCATCGATGATCGATGTTTCTTTCACTGACCTCGTTGTTGATTACGGTCGATGGCGTCTTGTTATTGGCAGTCTCCATTCTCGGCGCCTCTCGCGTCAAACGACTACCGGTGAATTTCTCGAAGAAGTTCTTCTTACTGAGAATCGACATAGTCACATTTTTCTTTGAACTCGCACTTTAAAAAAAAAAAGACTAATAAATTGGCATTACAATTACATAGCGAGTCGTAGAAAATTTCTTCACTAAATCAGCTTGACGTCATCCTCTACATATCAATAATATTGATTTCGCGTTAATAAACGGATTCACAGTATGATTTTTTTAGCCAGATTTTGACAATACGTGATAATTCATAAACATCTTGTTAGATCTGTGGTTTGATCAATTTCCTTGATGTCGAATTGATGACTTCCTGCTGCGCGCTCTTGCTCGCTAATACTGAACACTTAGCTGACTGTTCTGGCTCTTTGTATATCCCACAGTATATACGCACATGTGTTTATAAAACACATGTTATATATTTAGCTTCCATTAATCTCTCGTGTTTCTCTCTCTCTCTCCTCGCGTTCTTTCAAAATCCCCGACCGCAAATTCTCTTCCTGCGGAACCCTTGCTGGGAACGATCGTTTTATCATTCCACTTCCATGGTCATTCCATCCATAAATATATACAGCGGAATCTATTCGATGGATTTGACAATTAATGACATTATTCGAAACAATCTTATCCCAGCGTAGATCTTTTTTTTTATAAAGATTTTTAATTAATTAGAGAGAGAGAGAGAGAGAGAGAGAGAAGGCATGAAAAAATATATTTTAATAATTTACTTGTGATAATTGAACAGTTAAGATGACTGGCTTATATTCACTTTAATTTGCGAAGAAAATTAAAAAAGAGACAATCTGGAGAGAGAGAGAGAGAGAATACAAGAATGACGATTTTATATTATTAGTATATTTTAATAATAATATAATAATTATTAACATTTTATACATTTGAGAAACCTATTTTCCGTGTAACGATTATATGACTTTTTTCATAAAAAAATTATAAACGGATCTGAAGAAGATAAATAATGTTTTTACATTATTTTTTAATGATATTAATAATAAAATGTTGATATAATATTATTGTATATATAAGTTTTAATAATTTTTATATAAATACATTTTTTTTAGATATATTCTAGATAGTAAAAGTAGTCATTTTGATATAATTTGATGTCAAAACGACTACATTTTGATGTAATTTGACATCAAAACGACTACTTTTGTTACCTGGAATGTATATTTTGCTATTGAAACATTATATCAGAATGTAATCTTTAGCAATATCCGTAGGTTTGTGTATATAAACAGAGCAATATTTACGTTAACTATTCGACGAATCATCTCCGGCATTTCTGTTGAAAATCTGGACCAGATTTGATTTCTATTTTCGTACACTTATAAATCTTCAAACATTCGTCTTTCGCAACACGCAACATCTTTGCATTAGCCCAATAAACTTCCTTATAACGTCGTTTATCATTTTAAAATGTAATTTATACCATTGAGATCATTAATGAATTAAAATAAATAAAGCTGACATTTGTTTCAGGTAGGTGCCGATGGCGCTAATTCGATAGTGCGAAAAACGATGGGTGTGACCTATCCAAACTGGCAGTATAATCAATTAGGCATCGTTGCGACTCTCAAACTGTCCGAGGTAATATTCTCCTCAAAGATTGCTTGTTTGATATCTAAGGCAACGTTTGAATTTTGGGAAATTATAATATTTATTAATCGATTTCAGCCCACGGAGAATGTCGTCGCTTGGCAGAGGTTTCTCCCAACTGGACCTATCGCGTTGCTTCCGGTAACTTTTTCCCTTACTTAATAGAATTTCCGCGAATAGGATACTAATCAAGGATGTGCGTGTTAGTGGTAGGTTCTAGCTTTTAGAAACCATGCCATAAATCGTGCTGGCGATTCACTGAAAACGGGCGAAATGAATTATCAAAGAGTTGAAGTATAAGTATCATATGGTGATGTGTTAAATTATATAATCATAACAACAACAGTAAGTTCGCTCTCTCGAGAGATAGAGAAATGGGAAAATCGAAGAAAATTACCATTCTCTTCGCGATAATTACTGTTATCAACTTTGATTTTCTTGAAACAATAATGTAATATAAAAATCCAAAAAATTTAGAACGTCTCTACAAAACATCATTCACACATGCATGCAAACATATTCAAATAAATAATAAAAAATATCACATTAATTTAAGTATATTATTTTCCACAGTTTTATAAATAATGAGAAAAATCAATACTTGATTTAACCACGATAACGATCCTATAATTCTCGGACAGTTGACAGATTCTCTCAGTTCGCTTGTATGGTCCGTGACGACCGAGAGAGCGAAAGAACTGCTGAAAGTCTCGGAGGAAGAGTTCGTCGACAATATAAACGAGGCATTGTGGCGGGTCTATCCAAAGAACGGCATTGTCGAGAGCGGAATGCATGCGCTCCGCCAACTGCTCGCGAACTTGTCCCTGCAGACTGGCGTGTCCAGGCAATTGCAACCCTCCGTAGCAGCCATCGTCGAAGGATCGCGGGCGGCCTTTCCCTTAGGTTTCGGACACGCTGCATCTTATGTTCAACAGGGCACAGTGTTAGTCGGGTAAGAAAATTTCGAATCTTAAGAGTGACAATCAATCGGAGAAATGCAGTCAAATGGATCAAAAATGTATGAAGACGCAAATCAAATCTCAACGAAAATTATGACAACAAATTTCTCAAAACTTATCTTTTCAAATCGAGATTGTACTAAAATTTCTTTGTAAAGATTTCCTCATCGTAGCAAGAGTTTAATACTTCTTTATTTAATTTATTTTCTATTTAACAATTTAACATTAATATTTCTGTGTTTAAGGGATGCGGCACATCGAATCCATCCCTTGGCCGGTCAAGGCGTGAATCTAGGTTTCGGCGACGTGACGGTGTTGACGCAGATCCTTGCCGAGGCCGCCGTGAATGGCTGTCATCTCAATAATATACAGTATTTGAGGCAGTACGAGACGCTGAGACAACGTCACAATGTGCCAACGATGCTCGTTATCGATGCGCTTCATCGGCTTTATCGGGGCACCGCAGCTCCCGTTGTTCTAGCTAGAAGCCTGGGCTTGCAATTGACGAACGCTATACCGCAAATCAAGGTAACGAGAAGCATTGTTCTGAAATACGTTTTTAGAAAACGAGGAAAATATTATTTCTCGTATTGATATTAATCATTGTGCGATCCTTTTTGTTTTAGAAAATGATGATGGAACAGGCCGCAGGAGGGACGATCGTTAAATGTTAACTCGGCGAGTACAATGTACATATCATTGTGATATTAACCACCCCAGAGTAATGTAAAAGATACTTTACATAATGTTTATTATTTATATTCAACATATGTATTATAAATTGTAATTATTATGAAGATAGGGATATTAAACTGATATTTTTTTCACACAATTATATGAAAACAGATAAGTCTTCAAAGCTATTGCTACTTTTTACATTGTACTACATATGAAAAAAATGTACTTTGTAATATATACTTTTTAAGTTATATTATTAGTAAAACCTATATAAAAATGTGGCAAAAAATGAATTTTTCAAATGTATTTGTAATAATATATTTCATTCTATATGAATATAATCTTTTATTAAATTGCATCAAAAATTATAAAATATGAAATTCATGTCACATATTCCACTTTGATTCACATTTTTTAATAATTTTATAACTTTAATACAAATGTACAATTAATTTTATGTATAAAAATTTCTGATGCAAAGCATAGTTTAAAAGTTGTGTACTTGAGGAATGATAATTTCAATATACAGAGTAGATACTTTAAAACGTGATTCATTCTATACCTTGTATGTATATTATATCATACCAAAAGAATCTTGCAAGTTTTCTGTTATAGGTTATCTATGTAGAGATTATCTGCGATTATCTAGCATCCTACTGACACGTTTTGTCCACGTGGTTCGGCTTGAGGCCGCAAGATAAGACGCAATCAAAAATGATAGATCGTGAAAGTATCAAACGCTCGGAACATCAACCGGAATTGCGTACAAAGTAAATACAGAATCATTAATGAGACTCGTTTAGAACATATGTAAGCTACGATGAGGTTAGCTGAATCGCTTTCCGAAGATTTGTCGATTGCATTCTTATTCGATCACCAACTCGAAATTACGACTCGTTCTTGTATTGCGCGAATTTACGCGGACTTTTCATCGTTAATACTTTTTATCAGGTGAGTATATTATATAATTTTGCGTATATATATTACTAATTATGTAACTTTTAACATGTCTCAAAAGAGAATATATTATAGGCAGTTTATATTGCATTTCTCTCTCTTTTCAATTAAAATTATTATGATGCTTCTGAAAACATTGAAAATTTGATAAAAATTTCTGTCGCAGATGTTAGTCAAATGGCAATATTTACATCCAGAAGGCTGCTCAAAGCCGCTGCTATTGGAACAATTGGGTTAGGCACCCTGGCATCTCTCAGAGCAAACGAGTATGACATTGGAGCCATTGGAATTGTACGACTGAGCCGGGCTGCGCTTGCAGTACTCGATATAGGTCATTATTATAAGAAAGAATTGTATAATAGTAAATTGGACAAAACATCGTCAGAGTACCTGCAGCTGAAATCGGACGTTCACAAGTATGGAGCGCAGAGGTTACTGGAGCTCTGCTGTGCCAACAAAGGAGTCTACATTAAAGTAGGTCAGCATGTGGGCGCGTTGGATTACTTGCTGCCCCAGGAGTATGTGCACACTTTGCGAGTATTGCACAGTTCGGCACCCCAGTCTTCGTTCAAGGATATCCTCACTGTGATCAAAGAGGACTTTAAGAAAGATCCATACCAGATATTTCAGAGCATCGATCCGGAACCTCTAGGCACTGCCAGCCTCGCGCAAGTGCACAAAGCTGTCCTCAGGGATGGTGATGTGGTGGCCGTTAAGGTGCAGCATCGCGCCGTCAAGAGTAACTCCTATGTCGATATCAAGACTATGTCGGCCCTGGTGAAGATCACGTCGCTAGTGTTTCCGGATTTCAAGTTTGATTGGCTGGTCGACGAAACGAAGAGGAACATTCCACAGGAGCTGGATTTCACCCGCGAGGGTAAAAACGCCGAGAAAGTACAGAAGCTCTTCGGTGATTATCGCTGGTTGAGAGTGCCGAAGATATATTGGGATGTATCGTCGTCACGCGTCCTCACGATGGAGTTCCTGGATGGCGGACAGGTGAACGATCTCGAATACATGCGTGCCCATCAGTTAAATCCATACGAGGTCACTAGCAAGCTCGGTCGTCTGTACAGTCATATGATCTTCATCGAGGGCTTCGTGCATTCGGATCCGCATCCAGGCAACATTCTGGTACGCAATCGTGACTCCCAGGCGGAAATTGTGCTATTGGATCATGGCTTATACGCCAATCTGTCCGATCAGTTTCGATGGGACTACTCGAAACTGTGGTTGGCGATTCTCGACGGGGATCGGGTCGCCATGAAGGAGCAGTGCGCGCGACTCGGCGTCGTCGATTATTATGGTTTGCTGTCATGCATGGTGTCGGGTAGAACGTGGGATACGATTATATCGGGCGTGCGTAAGACCCGGTATAACATCCATGAGAAAGAGGAGTTTCAACAACATATCCCGAACATGTTACCGCAGATCAGCACCGTACTGGACCGTGTCAATCGACAGATGCTACTGATCCTCAAGACCAACGACTTGATGCGCGGCATCGAGTACTCGCTATGCACCCAATCCAGAATGTCAGCTATGATAGAGATGTCCAAGTGCTGCGTACGCTCCGTATACGGCGAGAAACTTAGGCACTGTTCAAACGCGTGGAATAAGTGCTGGGTATCCTGTGCAGAGCGCTGGGTGCTCTTCAAATTGTCAATTTATTATGTCTACCTGGGCCTGATACACTTCGACCTGAACAAGTCGGTCGATTCTTTGTGGACAAAGGATTTCTATTCGTTTTAATGGAAGCTCCCACTAGGCCGAATATATTTCTTAATATTTAACTAGGAGAGCAGTGTCCCTTTCAAAAATAGTTTTACAGATATATATATATATTTTTTTTACTTGTAGGTAACAATATGTATAAATGTGATTTGATATTTTGCATATAATAATTTGTAAAGTACATATATTTTGTTTGTTCTCTTTTGATTTGTTTATGATCTCTCAGTCTACCTCATAAATTAGACATTAAGATTTACATATATAAATTTTCTTTTTCTTTCTTCCTTTTTTTTTTTTTTTTTAATAAATATGCGTTTGTCGTATAAAAATCTGAATTTTCCGATAAAACATGATTTCTCGTTAATAAATTTTTATATAACTAGTCTGTAAAATGCGAGAAGCACCTTATTTTTTAGATTAATTTCTAATTAAAACATTCTAAATTTTTTTTAAGATGACAATTTTTTTTAGATGGTAATTTTTTTGATAAATGGAAAGCATATGTAAGAAATATCTTATTGATACAATTGTATGTAAATTTTAATATATATATATATATTTATATGTACAGTAAAATATTATAGTTAACAGAAATTTAAATATGCTACAATGACTATGAATCAATTTGTTCTGAGCATCTTGCTTTCTTTAGCTAATCGTAGTTCTTCGCGATGTTTCGCGATAGTCTCTTCTCTCGTCTTCAGGAACTCCTTATATTCCTCCGGATCTATCTCACGCACAACCTCGATGCCGCACGTACGCGCGATACCGACCATCATAGTGCAGACTTGCTCCAAAGAGAGCAATGCCATGGTTGGATCTTCTGATTTGATTTTAGCGATTTCATATAAATGTTTCAGAGTTATCTTACCAGCCACTTCGCCTATGAAAAAAAAAATTTATTCATGATTTTACTTTTATTATTATTGTTTTACTTTTGATTGTAAGATATATTGACAAATTTAATATATATTACATATTATTTATTTCAATGTTCAATATTAAAATACCTTTGCGTCTTTCTTTATTAAAGTATTCAAGGAATTAGAATACTTGTCATTCTATTTCTCAAAAATGAAACGATAAATTTAAAGCCAACAGAGTGATAATTTGTTAAAAGATAATAGGTGTTTTCCAGCAAGGTACACAGATGACACGGTGTAACACACAGTATCACACGATTGGCTATCAAATACAGAATTTTAAATTTCTTCATTTGACAGCCAATCATGTGTATTGTGTGTTACACTGTGTCATCTGTGTATCTTGCTGGAAAACACCCAATATTTACATATATACCCTTCATTCTTCCTTTTTGTATCCCAGCTGCTTGTTTCAAGTAAAATGTTGCAGGTGGCTTGTGAATCACTAAATCGTACGTTCTATCTGAATGCACTTTCACACGACATGGCAAAGGGATGCCTTCCTTGATGTTGGCTGTCCTCTGGTTGAAGTCTTTGCAAAAATTTGCAATATTAATATTCCTCTAGGATTAAGAACAAAGTACAATTATTATCACATGCTGAAAATCGAGATAATTCATATATACAAATAATTGTGAAAGTCATAAATATTCGCAAAAAAAATGGGAAATCAATCCCAAAAATATATTCTATTGATTCACATTCTCCGCAACATATCATTAGTACATATCAAAGGTTTCTTAATAAATTTTTATTCTATTCAGAAACATGTAAAAAATGTTTTCTTTTTAATTCTTATCAGTGGACGTTTTTGTTTTTTATGTTCTTCATTCTAGCAGATTTGTTTTCATAGAGGATATACAGAATGATAATATCCTAACTTGTCCAAGTTGAGATCCGAGGGGCGGTGCGGATGACGCCAAGCCCGCGGGTATATTCACGCGTAATTTTGACGAATGATCGATCTTCTCGGTTAGCTTCTTAACCATTCTCCTTCCGACTGATTTCGACATTTTTTTTACAATATGCTATTTAAACAAATATCACGAGAACCTCTAACCTAATCTTGAACTGGGAGCGCACGGCGAGACAATAAGAGTACGTTCGAAAATTCTACCTGTGGGGTAAAGTAGCGTTTAATTGACCACGAGACAAAAGGAGCAAAGATTTTTTGTCTTTTGATTGGTCAATTCAATGATACTTCACTCCAGGAGTAGAATTTTCGAACGCACTTCAAAGCGAACAGTCTTCGTTTTTTTTTTTAGAGAACTTGGCATTGGCCGCGTTCAGCAAAGAAAACCGCTTAGTAGCAATCGAATGTGATTGGTTCTTACTTTTAGAACCAACGAATCAACGTCAAGTGTTGACAAGACGATAACTGAGCGCTTTCTCTGCTGAACGCGGCCAATGGCAACTTAAATCATATCTCGCATACTCTTCAATCTTGGTATAGAGAACTATTGCTGAATTTTAAACCGGTGATAGTGTTTGGCACTATTACACACGGAATTCATTAGAGAATATTTCAATATTTTCTAAGAAAATGCCGGGTTGCTGCGTGCCTGGTTGTAGTAATTCAACCGCTAAAGGATTTTCAATGAGAAGTTTTCCTACAGATCGCGAACGGAAAGCGTTATGGATTACCAATATTGGTATAGCAAATTGGGAACCTAAAACAAATAGTCGCATATGCGAAGTATGTGAACCAATTTCGTATTTTATAGATCTTTGTATAAAATGTGTTTAATAAATTATTACTTCTATATGCAGATACATTTTTCTAAGGATATGTGGGAAAAAGTCCGATGTGATGGTAAACGGAAATTAAAATGTAATGCTGTACCCACAATTTTCCCTTCTTATCAACGGGATAAAAATATTTTGTTCGACAATCATGATAAAGGTGAAAATGATATTGACAGTGATAATTTGGTGGGTGATAAAAAAAGTAATATAAATTTGCTTCCAATATCGCAAGCTTATCTAAATGCATCTATGTCTACAAACCTGGAAGAAGAAATAAATTGGAAAAAACAATGTGAGGAATTAAGAGATTTATTGAGAAAGAGTGAACAAACGTGTAAAAGACTTCAAAATACCATGAAAAGACGCGAAGAAATGTTCAATAGAATAATAGTAAAAAGTGATAGATATAGAAGAATTTTGAAGGAACGTTTAAAAAGATTGAGAGAAAGCAATCAAAATTATGAGAAATTGAGAATTAATTTAGAAAAAGTCTTCAAAAAAGATCAAATTATAATTCTTAGTGGAGATGATTGTAAATACGAGGCAATTATGCGAGCTATTGACTCGAGACATACATGAGGCAATAACAAAATATAGTAAAATAATCACTATTTATGAACAGAAAATGTTATATATATAAGGAAATTTATAAAATTGAATAAGTTCTTGTTACAAAAGATCTTATTTTGTAAATAACTTTTCTTATATTTTCCATATATGTACCAGTTTAAAATAATTTACGCAAGATAAAAATACAAATAAAATGCACTTAATTTATTATGTTATATTTAACATTCACATTTTGATTCTTTGCTATTAAAATTTATCATTTTAAAAATTAACATCATTAACACATATAGAGTCGATTGATTATTTGTTGTATAGAGGTTATTGGTTTAAAAGTCCATAGTATTGATGTTGATGTTATACTTGCAATCAAGGTAAAATTCATTTTAAATCGATATCTCTGATTAATATCTTCATAAATAAAAATTAATAAAGTCACAAATAGTTTCAATAAAATATGAGCTTGACATAATTTTCAGTGACAAATTATTTAAAAAAAAAAATAGAAATATATTCTGTTGTTTTAAATTCTAGTTGTTTTAATTATTTAAAAAGATATATATAATAACATTCTTTTTCTCTTTTCTTTTTTAATTGGTTTTCAAATTTATATTTATTTAAAATATGGTGGCAAATTCCGCCATATTTGGTCTAATACTGAAATGACCAATCAGTGAAAAGTCGAAATTAGACTCGGAGGATCTCCATTCAATGGTATATCAATTGTGAAAATTAATCAATGGACAAAATATAGACAACAGTACTTCGAATCGAAATCTTCGAATTCAGTTTTCGTGAAACGTTTATACGTTTACAGTTTACAGTTTCTTCTGGCCTATAGGTATATTCGCTTGCGAAGCCTAATCAGCCACATAGATAGAAAGAAGAAGAAGTTTACAGTTTCTTGATAATTTTGTATTGTTCAATATTGTTCGGTTTTGACTTAAAATAGTTACTACTTCAAAATGGGGAAACGTCAGCATCAGAAAGATAAGATGTGAGTTATATAGTGTTATCATGCATTGTTTCTTCCAAATATAATTATATGCACTTATGAAAATATCTTACTCTAAATTTGTAATTATCTAAGAATTTTTTGGAACTTTTTTCAGGTATTTAACATATACCGAGTGGACAACACTGTATGGTGGAAGAAAATCAGGGACGACTCTGGAAACGAGTGAAGAGAAAACGTTCAGGCGTTTACCGTATGATCATTGCTGTTTGTCTCTGCAGCCCTTCGAACATCCTTACTGCGACCCACATGGCAACGTATTTGAATTAGAGGCTATTCTGGCTTATATAAAACAATATAAGCACAATCCTGTAACTGGGAAACCATTGGATGCAAAAAGTCTAATTAAATTAAATTTTCATAAAAATATGGAGGATGAATATCAGTGCCCTGTTCTTTTTAAATTGTTCACAAAACATTCGCACATTGTTGCCATTAAGAACACAGGAAATGTATTTTCTTATGAAGTAAGTATATATAAATGTTTTAATATTCTTTATTAAACTATCCATCCCATTTTATTATATGTTTATTTATACTACATATATTTATTTATACTATTATGAACTATCAATTATAATGGTCTTTTGTGTAATATATGTAAGAAATGCAATACAAGAATTATTTTTAAGGCTGTTGAACAATTAAACATAAAAGCTAATAACTGGAAAGATTTGATAAATGATCAGCCATTTATACGTCAAGATATTATCACAATTCAAGATCCGAACGATGCGATGAAATTCAATTTGTCTACATTCCATCATATTAAGAATAACATAAGGGTAGAGGACGAAGGTAAGCTTTTACTTAGTTTAGACAAAATTATTTCTATTTTAGTTTTTATTAATATTTTTTTCTATGCTATATATAAACGACATTTTTTCAGAAACTGTGAGAGAGCGAAATAATCCAAATGCAAAATTAAAAACTGTCTCTATGGAAACCAAAGAAATTTTGATAGAATTAGAGAGAGATTATAAACCAACAAAAAGTAATGAAAAAGATGAAACATCTAAGAAGGCTGATAAATTTAACGCTGTTCGTATATTCACAAATATAAAAGTATTCTGTTTCAATTATTGACAGTTATTTAATTATTTCTATTATTTAATTATTTATTTATAAATAGGCACATTACTCTACTGGTGCAGTAGCTGCAGGTTTTACTTCAACAATAATGCCAGCAGAGACTACCCATCAAGCAGCTGTAATCGCAGAAGATTTAGTGCGATATGAGAGAGTCAAGAAGAAGGGTATGTTATCATAGTTATATTACTATTACATTGTTATTTAAACTTGCAATAAAAAAACAATTGTTAATTTTTTTTAAAAGATTAACTTTTTTATTTACTTATTTTTTTTACTTAGGATATGTAAGATTACTTACAAATTTTGGAACTTTGAATCTGGAGCTTTACTGTGATTTGGTTCCAAAAACTTGCGAAAACTTCATGAAACACTGTCAGAATGGTTATTACGATGGCACAAAGTTCCATAGATCAATAAGAAATTTTATGGTGAATACACATTTAGGTTTTAAGACAAGTATTTAAATTGTGAACAATTTGTTTTAAAGACTACATTTTGTGCACTTTTCTTTCTTTCTTTATTTTTTTTTTGCTTTAATTTATTTTATAATAATCGAAATATTTCGCTTTCCTTCATTGCAGATTCAAGGAGGTGATCCGACTAACACGGGTAATGGTGGCAAATCCATTTGGGGCAAGCCGTTTGAGGATGAATTCAAGCCAAACTTGGTACATCAAGGCAGAGGCATTTTATCTATGGCAAACTCAGGTCCAAATACCAATGGATCCCAATTGTAAGATTAAAATAAAGCAACTTGTGTTACACGATTATATCATGCCTGATTTTCCTTAATATTTTCATTATCGTTTTAGTTTCATTACGTTCCGGTCGGGTAGGCATCTCGATCGCAAGCACACAATCTTCGGGAAGATAGTCGGAGGTCTGGATATATTGAACACAATCGAGAAAGTGGAGGTGGACAATAAAGATCGACCGATAGAAGATATAGTTATACAGCGTATTCAAGTCTTCGTGGATCCCTTCCAAGAAGCTGATGAGCAACTCGTTGCAGAACGAGCTGTTGAAGTGGAACGATTAGCTCGTGAAGCGAGTGAGAGCAAAACGAAGGACAAGAGGAACAGGAACGACACGCCGAAGATTTACCGATCCGGTATAGGGAAATATGTGAAATTGGGACAGGAAAAGTAAGCTATCGACTTTTTGCAAAATTATTATTTTTTGTTTTGATTTATGCAATGCTTTGTTTATTTTTAATACTTAACCTGATTTTTAGATTGGACAAACGAGACGCGAATGCGGAACCTGCTACAAAAAAGAAAAAAGTTCTGTCGCAATCATATGGAGATTTTTCCTCTTTTACGTTCTAATCAATTATATTATCAAATGTGTATATAGCATATGTATATAGTAGATTATATCCAAATTACTATATATTTTTGTTAAATTATATATATATATAATTTAACAAAATTATGATACATAAAAATATGTTTGAAGAATATATATTTGAGTCATGTGACTTAAAATTAGTATTTGACAGTTTGACATCTATAAAATTTTTGGCACACAATGTGCTCATTGGTGTGTGGATACATAATAAGGAGGCGCATGTTAATCCTGGCTGATTTTGGCATTCAATCTTGGCTCATTTAATCATCCAATTCTCAGAAACCAAAATATCCAATTCCCTACTAAGATCAAACATAAGTAATTATTGTCCCGTCGATACTCAAGAAATGACACGAAAAGTATGTTGGACATATGCAACCAATAGCTGAAAATGTAATTATCCTGTGAAAACTTACAAAACATTGAGAGATTAAATAAATTATATTTATTAAATCATTATTATTTTCTGTGCAGTACTAAATATCTAAACAAATGTTTCATAAATTATTTATATATTCATATATTTTATTAAATGTTGTTTGAAAGATTTTTTATAGTATCAAGATATTTAATACTGTATCTACTACTGTATTATATAATACATATAAACGTTTTCGCAATATTAAATGTCTAGCATGTATTATATGATACATATGTATAATTTTCTACCTAGACAATCTAGGTTGAACGATTCATAGGCAATTTTAGATTCGATCAGTCTTATTATTTAGATTTAGGATTTTTCCGCACATATTTGCAATGATTCTTAACTTTATTGACTACCATATTACATACATAAAGAGAATCAAAAAGTATTTCTTAATTATAATATCTGGTATACTTTGATGAACACATACTAACTTTTGTTAAAATAATTATAAATATTTTGTTAAACATATAAGTAATTTGAATCATCATTATATATTTTAAGAGTTTATTTAATTTTAAAGATTTTTTTTTTATTATAAGATTCATATAAGATGACTTTTTAACACATATTTTCAAATAGATATATTATTATTGTCATCAAATTTATTTCAATTTTTATATTGTTCCATAAATTTCATTTTTTATTATTTATTTCAAGATTTTACGATGTCGTTACATGATGTTTTTTGTTTATACAATTATAAGAAAAAATATGTAAAATGTTAAATTTAAAATTTATCCATTTTTTCAGTGACGTCTTAAATTCAAATCTGTTTTCACATAACTCTCATACATATTAATAACTCGTTTATATTTTGACCAAAATTTTTCTTTTTTTTACAGCGCTCGAGTGCGTTTAAGGGCACCGTAACGCAATAGGGCGGCTACTGATCCGGTCGAGGACCGTAGCCTCCATGTTTGATGTTCGCCACATGAAGTGAATCGCGGTTCGTCTAGCGCGCGTTGCGCTTTTTCGTGATCCGCACGACGTGTGATTCGCGTGTGATCGACAGGTCAGACCGCATACGTATTCCAGAATTTCGTGCGACGGAGGTCTTCCCGTGTCCAGCTAGCACATCATGGACGATTTGGGTGAGTAAACGCTTCGTAATCAGCTCTGAAAAGCGCCCAGCTAACCTCTAAGACGTTTGACGCCTGTCAAGCACGGGGACGCCGTATCGATATCACGACATTATATATACAAATTATCAATACTGACAAGTATTGGCGGGACCCAACAACTTTCGACACTTGGAGACATGTTTTCGTTTGAACTTGTCAAATGCGCGCAGGAATCGAAGATATGGACACTTTGAGATTTGTTAACATCTG